AACCAGGGGAGATTGACACGGAAGTGTCTAATTTACTACAATCTGATTATATGAGCCTTGATTATGATCTAGTATCTTTTTCAGTCAATAATGATGCCTCATAATCTTTATCTCAGCACACTCAAATATGACAGCTCATCAGCATATTCTCTGCACAAAGTTAAAGCTGTTTCAAGGTGCTTTTCTTCAAGACAAAGGAATGCATTAAAGGAGTTGGTTGGCAGCTGTGAACATTTCTTCATTACCAATGAGTGCATTAAAATAGTTGGTTAGTAGCTATAAACACTTAATTTCGAAATTCCCTATGCATGAAGGGTTGTTTCATGCACTAATATTTATTTTGGTGTTTAGGACTTAGAAAGGACTTTAGAAAACGGAGGATATTGGCAGAAGCTCTCTTGGAGTGCTCTTTTGAACTCTGTATCTCTTGGATGCGTCCTTGAGTGGTGAGTCTTTTGCTTTCAGTTCTGTATCCTTGTTTATTATCATTAGAGTGGTGATCTTCTGTATCCCTTTTGATTTTTAAACTTGGTGGTGAGCTATATTTCGTTTTACCGAAGTTTCTTCAAAAGTGCGTTCCTTGCCTTTTGTGACATTTTCTATCTGAACAACTGTTATATCGGTGTTCTTTCGAAATTCATTCTGTATTTTTACCCTCCCGGTATCAGACTGACCTCACATAATCACCTATCCACTCCATGTCAAATCACGACGAGAGAATGAGACTAAGAGATGCATTCACAACAGGATAAAGAGTAGGGTTGAGTGATCTCAGATCCAACGAAGAGATAAGGGAGTTCCACAACCAATGTTCGCCGGACAAACTGATATCAGATCGGTCACGTTGTGACGTAGCCTCCTCTGAGCGCAACGTGTAGTGATCGAAAGAGGTCATGTTCTCACCCATGCTATAAGAACCGTGCACGAACGCGTTGTAAAGCAGGGCTGCGGGGTCATCCCAAGAGCAAAGACGGGAAGGAACCCTTCGCATCACCAACATCTGGCATTTGTTGGGTCCTCGCATTGGATCCCATGTAATCCACGTGTCGTAAAGCAGGAACGTGGATTGATTCCAAAAGCTCAGCTTAGGAGCCATGCGCACTCTTGCATTAAGAGACGTGCATGAACATCTGGCACCTCGCACTAGATTCTTTTAATGCACGCATCGTAAAGCAGAAATGCGGATCCGAATATCTCATGTGGGAAGCCGATCTACGCGTGCACTGATGCATTAAGCTATGTGCATGAACATCTAGCACCCTTTTGCGTTCTCACATTGGATCCCTGTAATGCACGTATCGTAAAGTAAGAATGCGGAGTAAGGTTGGAAGGAGTCGCACCCTTGCTTTAAGATGCATGCACGAACATCTAATGCCGAACTGTGTTCTCACACCTTACATGCAACGTAAACAAGGAACATAGAGTGTGAAGAAACGGACCGTTGCTTTAAGATGTGTCTGAACATCTAGCGCTTAGATCCCACGTAACGCACGCCTTGTAAAGGAGGAACACGGAGTGATCTGAATATCTCAAGTGGGAAGGAGCCATAGCTAGCGTGCACCCTTGCATCAAGATGCATGCATGAACATCTAGCATCCTGGAGCATTCTCGCTCGCGTTGGATCCTTCTAATACACGTATCGTAAAGCAAAAAACATGGAGTGATCCGAAGATCTCAGGCGGAGGACGCATGCGTACCCACCCCTGCTTCAAGATGCGTGCATGAGCATCTGGCACCCTGCTGTGGATTCGCCCTTGATCCAGTGTAATTAGCCGTGCAGGGTGGATCACCCTGTCGCATTCCAGCTAATTCTCTTCAAGAACCATTAAATCCTACTAAACTCTACCTATCAAGGTTTGCTGGTTGCCCAACCATCACGTCCGACGAAGAGAGAAGTATCAGATGAATAAAAGCAGTTTTTGATGTCTACGATCCTAAATTCTGAGTGTTGAGAACGTGAGAGATGGGTAGATCACTCGGCCATTCTTCCACTGCAGCTGAAGGATGACGTTGTCCGTAAGTCTTCCCAAGTCGTCTTTTGCAGAATTTTGCGGCCTTCCTTATTCACTCGGGATGGGAAAAAGGCAAGCCTGGAATCCTCCTCTGTGCGTTGGCCACAGAGGATGACAGTGAGAGAACAAGACACACAGAGAGAGTTCTCCGGTTTATATATCAAATGTTTCTCTCATCTCCTGTTTATATAATCATGAGAATGGAGCATCACGGCCACTTTCTCTCTTCTTCATGTTTCTGTTCATGGGAATCATCCCTTCCGCCGCAGCAGCAGGCGATTCCAGCGCTCGTTGCAAAGAGAACGAGAGGGCAGCTCTTCTCAAGCTCAAGCAAGGCCTGTTCGATTCCAGCGGCCGGCTATCTTCCTGGGCGGGTGACGACTGCTGCAGATGGCGAGACGTTCGCTGCAGCAACCGCACCGGCCATGTCGTCCAACTCCGACTGCGCAACCCCTCACCCTCACCTGACGGCGACGACAACTTCTTGTCCGGCAAGATCAGTCCTTCTCTGCTCGAGCTGAGGCACTTGAGCTACCTGGACTCGAGCAGAAACAGATTCGATGGAGCAAGCATCCCACGCTTCATCGGCTCGTTGACGAGCTTGCGGTACCTGAACCTCTCCGATGCAACGTTCGGCCGCACGATTCCTCATCAGCTCGGCAACCTTTCCCGCCTGCAGTACCCTGATTTCCACTGGCTCTACATCCCTCCTCGTCCTCTCGTCGTCGATAACTTCCACTGGATCTCTCGTCGCTCCTCCTTGAGTTACCTCGACACGTCTGCCATTAACCTTTCGGCAGCAGGCGATGTATACGACGAGGTAACCAAGCTTCCGAGGTTGTCAGTGTTGAGAAAAATATGTTAAAACAGAATATTCTTTTCCCGTATCAAAATGAGTTTCTCATCAAAATACTAACTTGGTATCTAAATAAAAATATCAACCAGCACAGCATAAACAATAGAGCAAAACTTCAATCACACAGTGAGACCAAATCTTTTTAACGTGGAAAACCCAATGTGGGAAAAACCACGGGACCGTAGTCCACCTCAAACTTCCACTATCAATAATAATGATAACAGGTTTACAGTAGGTATTCTCTAGAATAACTAGAGGATCAGAATAATATCAAGAACATAGATCTTGGCTCTAACATATAGCATATCTTCATCATATAGGATGGATCTCCTTAAAAGAGAATTCTAGGTCTCACAAAGTGGATATCACAGGAAAGTACCATAGAGAGGGTAAACTGCAGATCAACACCGTTAGGATTGTAGAGTTTGCTGCAAGGATTCTCCACTTAAAATTTGGGCCGAAACTGACAACGTTTGGCCACAAATCGTCAAACAAAAAACTTAAAAACCTTACTTTCTCTCTCTATTTCTCTCTCCTCTTTTCTTTGCACGTCGTCGTACGCTGCACGCGTTCACTCACCCACACACGCACTGCTATCACTCAATTTTGCCCTTTCTCTCTTGATTTCTTCGATTTGGGCTTATGACCCAAATTTGTCCAAGCCCCCATATGGGCTGGAACCAACAATTCTCCCCCTCCAGCTCATATGGTGGGCTATACTAAGCCCGCTCTTTGCATACATGTTTCAAGCTTCTCCTTAGGCAAAGACTTTGTCAACATATCTGAACCATTATCGTTGGTATGTACTTTTTCCAACTGTAATTTTTTCAACTCAAGCACATCACGAATCCAGTGATATCTCACATCAATATGCTTGGATCTAGAATGATATGTTGAATTCTTGGAGAGGTGAATGACGCTATGACTGTCACAGTAAATAGTATATCCTTCCTGTTTCAAGCCCAATTCCTGTAGAAACTTTTTCATCCATAAAGCTTCCTTGTAGGCTTTAGTAACTGCTATGTATTCTGCTTCTGTGGTTGATAGAGCAACACACTTCTGTAACTTAGACTGCCAAGAGACTGCTCCTCCTGCAAATGTCATCAAGAATCCCGAAGTGGACTTCCTAGAATCAGTATCACCTGCTATGTCTGCATCTGTGTAGCCTTCTAACACAGGTTCATCACTGCCAAAACATAAACACAACCTGGAAGTACCTTTTAGATATCTTAATATCCATTTCACTGCTGCCCAATGTTCCTTTCCAGGATCAGAGAGAAATCGACTGACAACTCCAACTGCATGAGCTATATCTGGCCTAGTACAAACCATCACATACATCAAACTACCTACTGTAGATGAGTAAGGCACTCTGGACATTTCTTCTTTTTTTTTCTCACTTGTAGGACATTGTTTTGAACTAAACTTGAAATAACCTGCAAGTGGGGAACAAACTACTTTGGCTTTACTCATGTTGAATCTTTCAAGAACCTTTTTAATGTAAGTCTCCTGAGATAGCCAAATCTTCTTTTTCTTCCTATCACGAAGAATCTTCATGCCAAGTATTTGTTTCACCGATCCCAAGTCTTTCATGGCAAAAGACTTAGCTCTCTTTTAAGCTTTCCAATTTTTTCAATATCATGGCCAACAATCAGCATATCATCAACATATAGCAGTAAAATAATAAAATCATCATCTGAAAATTTCTTCATAAACACACAATGATCAGATGTGGTTCTATCATACCCTTGGCTCATCATAAAGGAATCAAACTTCTTGTACCATTGTCTAGGTGCCTGTTTGAGTCCATATAAGCTTTTCTTAAGCTTACATACTAGATTTTCTTTTCCCTTGACTTTGAAACCTTCTGGTTGCTCCATGTAAATTTCTTCTTCTAAGTCACCATGAAGAAATGCTGTTTTTACATCAAGTTGCTCAACTTCTAAATTCAAGTAGGCAGCCAAACCAAGAACAACTCGGATAGAGGACATTTTCACAATTGGAGAAAATATTTCTTCAAAGTCAATACCTTTCTTCTGACTGAATCCTTTCACAACTAGTTGTGCCTTGTATCTCTGTTGTGAGCTATTGCTTTCAGTCTTCAATTTGTAAACCCACTTATTCTTGAGAGCTTTCTTCTCTTTAGGCAACTTTACTAAGTCATAGGTGTGGTTCTCAAGCAGGGATCTCATCTCTTCTTGCATGGCTTTAACCCACTCATTCTTATTCTCATGTAGAATAGTTTCTTGGTAAGTTTCTGGCTCTCCCCCATCAGTAAGCATAACATACTCATGTGGAGGATATCTGGTATAGGGTTGTCGCTCTCTAGTGGATCTTCTCAATGGAATCTCAACTGGTGGTGGAGGTAGCTGTTCAGTTGGTTCAGCATAATCAACTGTAGGTGTGTCATCACTGGTATTATCACCACAATCTTCTTGTTCATCTCTCCCATGATCATCATGAATTACAGGTGAAGGAACTGGACCCAAACTCCAAGGAATATAATCAGAGGTTTCTGGCTTCTCAATATTATCACCATCATCAAACAATTGGTCTTCAAGAAACACAACATCTCTGCTTCTAATAATCTTCTTGTTCACTAGATCCCATAATCTGTAACCAAACTCTTCATGACCATATCCCAAGAAGATACATGTTTTGCTTTACTATCAAGCTTGGACCTCTCATCTTTGGGAATATGAACAAATGCTTTACACCCAAAGACTTTCAAATGATTATAAGATATATCTTTTCCTCTCCATACTCTCTCTGGAACATCACCTTGTAAAGGAACTGATGAAGAAAGATTTATCAGGTCAACTGTAGTTCTCATAGCCTCCCCCCAAAATGACTTCGGTAACTTGGCGTGAGAAAGCATACACCTAATCCTTTCTTCAATGGTTCTGTTCATCCTTTCTGCCACACCGTTCTGCTGAGGAGTTTTAGGAACTATTTTCTCAAGCCTGATTCCATGAAACCTGCAATAATTCTCAAAAGGACCCTTGTACTCGCCACCATTATCTGATCGAACACACTTTAGTTTTCTACCAGTTTCTCTTTCAACACTGACATGAAACTCCTTGAAAACATCAAGTACCTGGTCTTTAGATTTCAAAGCAAAAGCCCACACTTTTCTAGAATAGTCATCAATAAAAGTAACAAAATAAAGAGCACCTCCAAGAGTTCTAGTTTGCATAGTACAAACATCAATATGAACTAAATCAATAACATCTGATCTTCTAGATGATGGATATGTCTGAAATGTAACTCTATGTATTTTTCCAGCTAAGCAATGATCACAAGATTTAAGAGATGTACCTTGCAACTCTGGCAAGAACTGCTTTCTAGCAAGAGTTTGAAGTCCCTTCTCGCTGATATGTCCAAGCCTCTTATGCCAAAGATCCATACTTTCACCTTTTTGAATTGCATTAATCTCTCCTTTGTGTAGCTTAGCTTCCATGACATAAAAAGAGTTAATCTTGTTTCCTTTTGCCACAATCAGAGAACCTTTAGTGACTTTCCATTTGTTTTCACCAAAATAATGTGCAAAACCCTCATCATCAAGTTTGCATGTAGATATCAAGTTAAGACGAATATCTGGAACATGCCTTACATATTTGAGTATTAATTTGCTCCCAATACTGGTCTCCAAGCAAATATCTCCAATACCCACAATCTTAGATGTACCACTGTTTCCCATTCTAACATTACCAAAATCACCAACAGTGTAAGATATAAAGAAATCACCACGAGAAATAACATGAAATGAAGCACCAGAGTTAATTATCCAATTACTATCCTGAGCTACAAGGCTAACACAACCTTCATCACAGACAATAGTGATATTACCTTCAGTAGTAATTGTATTGGTCTCTTTCTCATTTTTTTTCATTTCATTCTGTTCTCGCTTCCAAAACCTATACTCTTTCTTCATGTGACCTGACCTATTACAATGAAAACATTTGATATCTCTTCTAGACTTAGATCTTCCTCTATAACCATGTGGATTTCTGCTATGACTTCTTCCACGTCTTTCTTGTTTTTCAGTAACAAATGCACCAGAAGAAGATTCACCCTGTTCTTTCCTACTGGCATCTTCATTTAACAAACTGTCTTTAATTATATCTATAGTTAGAGTCCCCTCTGGCGTGAAGTTACAAATAGTCACCACATACGTTTCCCAACTTTCTGGTAAAGAGCTGAGAAGTAACAATCCCTGCATCTCATCATCTATATTCATTTTCATAGCAACCAACTTGTTTGCAAGACTCTGAAATAGGCTTATGTGCTCAACAATGTTACCACCATCTTTATACTTCAAATTTACAAGCCTTCTGAGGAGAGAAATTCTATTTCCCACTGTCTTTTTCGCAAAGAGGTTTTTTAACCTTTGCCAAACAATATCAGCTTTGGTTTCATCTGAAATATGCTCATGCAAGTTTATATCCATCCATCTTCTAATATAGGCAATAGCTTTTCTATGTTGAACTTCTCATTCTTCATCGTCCATAGTAGAAGGTTTATCTTTAACCTTGATAGGCTTATACAAATCTTTGCAATAGAGCAAATCTTCCATTAGATGCCTCCAAGTGGAATAATTTGATGAGTTCAATTTAATCATACCATCAGACTCTATTTCAATCACACAAGAAAAACTAGCACCAAACAACCTATTTCTCTGATACCACTTGTTGGGAAACACCTGTTAAAACGAAATATTTTTTTCCCTCTTTGTGTATCAAAATGAGTTTCTCATCAAAATACCAACTTGGTATCTAAATGAATATATCAACCAGCACAGCATAAACAATAGAGCAAAACTTCAATCACACAGTGAGACCAAATCTTTTTAACGTGAAAAACCCAATGTGGGAAAAACCACGGGACCGTAGTCCACCTCAAACTTCCACTATCAATAATAATGATAATAGGTTTATAGTAGGTCTTCTTTAGAATAACTAGAGGATCAGAATAACATCAAGAACATAGATCTTGGCTCTAACATATAGTATATCTTCATCATATAGGATGAATCTCCTCAAAAGAGAATTCTAGATCTCACAAAGTGGATATCACAGGAAAGTACCTTAGAGAGAGTAAACTGCAGATCAAAACTGTTAGGATTGTAGAGTTTGTTGCAAGGATTCTTCACTTAAAATTTGGGCCGAAACTGACAACATTTGACCACAAATCGTCAAGCAGAAAGCTCAGAAACCTTACTTTCTCTCTTTATTTCTCTCTCCTCTTTTCTCTGTACGCCGCCGCACGCTGCACGCGTTCACTCACCCACACACGCACTGCCATCACCCAATTTTGCCCTTTCTCTCTTAATTTTTTCGATTTGGGCTCATGACCCAAATTTGTTCAAGCCCCCATATGGGCTGGACCCAATTTGTTCAAGCCCCCCTTTCTCTCTTTATCAATTGCCAGCTACTTCGCCTCCATAATACTCGTCCTCCATCTGCTAACCTCACATCATTAACAACCCTGGATCTTAGCTCAAATTATTTGGGTCCTCTACTCCCCAGTTGGCTGTTCAACATCAGCAAATCTCAAGAGTATCGATCTCTCCTTCAACCAGTTCCATGGCCCGATCTCTGGCTTTGGGAAGTTGTTTTCCCTTCAGGTCTTGCAACTCGGTGGAAATGATTTCAATGATACCGCATCTTGGAACATTAAAATCCTCTGCAACTTGCAGATTCTAGACCTGTTATATAATGGGATCAGTGCAGACATCTCGAATTTTGACAAGCAGTTGTCTGGATGTGTCAGAAACAGCTTGCAGGTATTAAATCTGGCATACAATGCTTTGGGTGGTGGAGTTCCTGTATGGATTGGGGAGCTCAGGAATCTGAAGTCTCTGCATCTTGAGGACAACTTGCTCTCCGGTCTCATTCCTCCATCTCTTGGAACCCTCTCGTCACTGAGCTTCCTCTACCTAAGCCACAACATGTTACGGGGGTCAATTTCTGAATCTTTCGGGCAGCTCTCGGAGCTAATCGTGTGGGTTGTCAGCTACAATCAACTCTCTGGTATCGTCTCCGACGTCCACTTTAGCAGCATAACAAGGTTTGAAGCTCTGCTCCCGTCTTGAAACTCGCTGGTTCTCAGCTTCAGCTCCAGTTGGCTTCCTCAGTTTCAGCTCAAGAATATTCACCTTGGCTCCAGTGTTCTAGGTGTTGTTGAAAAGAGGATAGAAGATATAAATTATGAAAGAAGTTATTTTCATTGAAACTGTTTTCTCCCTATTTATATAAGTTAAGAGAGAGGATTTTTCTCAACATAGTAGAGAGATTTTCTCATACAGTTAGGGAAATCTTATCTGCTATCATGCCCTCGTAAGATGGTGCTCCTATCAAGAATATTAATTTTGGATCGATGCAATGTAAACAGTTTATGAGCGCGAGGTTTCGTGAGTAAGTCGGCTAACTGATCAGCCGTATATACACGAGAAACACGAAGTTAACAACGGACAACCTGATCTCACATAATGTGGAAGTCGATAGTAATATGTTTCATACGGGAGTGGAATATCGGATTAGCGCACAGATAGGTAGCTCCGATATTATTATAATATATTATAGGAGTGGACCAGATGTTGAGTTCCTTGAGCAGATTTGTGACCCAACTGAGTTCTGTAGTGGCAATGGCGATGGCATGGTAGTCAGCTTCAGTTATAGACCGTGCGATTGTCTTTTGCTTCTTAGAACTCCAATTGATTGGATTAGCACCAAGGAAGACAATATACCCCGATGTGGATGTTCGATCATCAACGTTGCCTGCCCAGTCGGCATTAGCAAATGAATGAAGATGAAGTGGAGAGTGTTTACGAAGAAAGAGACCATGATTGAGGGTCCCCTTAAGATATCGCATAATTCGTTTGACCGTAGACCAATGCATAGTAGACGACCTCTGCATAAACTGTAATAATTTGTTGACTGCAAAGGAGATGTCTAGACGGGTGAGAGCTAAGTATTGTAAGGAGCCAATGACTTGTCGGTATTGAGTGAGCTCCGTAGCAGGACTTCCATCAGATAATTTGAAAGAGCCACTAGCAGAGAAAGGAGTTGTAATCGCATTTGCGTCCTGCATGTTTATTTTTTATAATAAATCTTGATTATACTTTCTTTATGAGAGAAAGAGATCGAAAGATGTGAATGTAGCTTCTACGCCCATAAAGTAGTTCAAGGGTCCTAGATCTTTAAGCGAGAACCAATCTACCAACTATTTGATGAATGCTTGGATTTCTACGGGATTGTTGCCTATGACAATGATATCATCCACATATACCAGAATATATTTGTATCACCACGGTGTTGTCGTAGAAATAATGAGGTATCAGATTTCGAGTTGAGAAAGCCAACTAAAGTAAAAAAAGAGCCAAGTTCTATGTACCAAGCTCTTGGAGCCCGACGAAGTCCATAAATAGCATTTCGTAGTTTGCAAACATGCTCTGGATATTGAGGATGAGGGAAACCAAGAGGTTGTTGCATAAAAACAGCTTCGGTTAGAGTCCCTTGTAAAAAGGCATTATTAACATCCAATTATCGTAATTGCTAGCCCTTAGTGATGACCAAACTCAGGATAAGTCAGATTATAGTCGGCTTAACAATGAGACTAAATGTCTCAGTGAAATTAACTCCAGGTCTTTGATGAAACCCTTTGGTGAAGAGGCATGCCTTATATCGAGCTATAGAGCCATATGGGTTTCGCTTAATTCGAAAGACTCACTTACACCCAATAATATTTTGTGTATGATGAGAGGGTACTAGATCCTATATTGAGTTATAGAGGAGGGTATTATATTCCTCACACATGGCGGTACGCCAATGCGGAGATTTTTGGGCTTGAGTGAAGGTGGTGGGTTCAACTGTGGTGGATGAGGAATCCATGATAGCATGTAGGTCAAGGATTTGATATGGTTTGAAAATGCTACTCTTAGAGCGTGTGGTCATAGGATGGTTGAAGACTACAAGATCCTGAGGTTGAGTTGTTGGAATAAGCGGTTGAGAGTCATTGACACAGGCCAGGTCAGGTGGAGGTACGTCAATGTCACTTGGCCGAGAAGGAGGTAAAGATAATGGTTGTGATTCTGAACTAATTACCCCAATATTTTGAGAAGAAAGAAGAGGAGTAAGAATGGAGAGAATGGGCAATTGCTGAACTGGAGGAGTGAGATCATAAGAGGAGGAACTAGACGATGTCATGAGAGGCTCGTCCAATTGGATCGGAGGTATATGCCAGTGAGGAAAGGGTAATGAAATGGACTGCATGGTAGGATATATATGATTTTAAAAAGGAAAGATAGACTCAACAAAAATAACATGACGTGATATAAAAACTTTGTAAGTATGGAGATTATAGCAGCAAAAAGTATTATGCTCAAGAGAGTAACCTATAAAAACACAAGGATTAAATCAGGATATTAACTTATGAGAGGCATAGAGATGTAACCATGGATAACATAGACAACCAAATACTCTGAGTTTACGAAGGTTTGAGGGTTTATGAAATAGTGTGTCAAAGGGGGACTGGTATTGTAGGACTGGCATAGGCATTCTATTAATAAGGTAGACGACCGTTTGAAAGGCTCCTATCTAAAAGAAGACTTGATGGAGAAGTGTGAGCCTAGTTTCTACTATATACCGATGTTTGTGTTCGGCGGAGCCAACAAGTTGAGGTGTATGCGGGAGAGACTTGAGGTATTGGATACCACAAGTTTAGAGATAGGACGCCAGGGCTTGATATTCATCGCCACCATCAAAGTAAACCGTTTTGATTGTAGATTGAAAGTGGCTTTTGACCAACTTTCGAAAAGTGGGAAAGATGGTCGAAACGTCAGATTTATGGTGAAGAGGAACTATAAAAAATGACATAAAATCTAAATTTATCAAAAGATAGGATTGGGGCAGGGCCCCAGACATCTGTATAGATAATTTCAAATGGTTTAGAGGAGGAAATGGAAGATGAGCCAAAGGGCTGTCGATGACTTTTATTACCAAGACATGCATCATAATGCATTATAGAACTATGCGATTTAAAAATAGGAAGAGAGTAATAAGAAAGTAATTTTTACTGAATAAGGGATGAGGGATGACCAAGACGATGATGTCATACATCAACTGGAGCGGCAATGGAAGAATGAATAGTGGGCTGGGTTATTTGTGGAGATGACGATCATTCGTAAATGTGGTCTCTATTCGGGCCCTGGACCATGGATGCCCCCATGCTCAAGTCCTTAACAACAAAGGAATCAAGAAAGAATTCAATTGAAGTATTGTTATGTTTACAAATTTGAGAAATAGAAATGAGGTTGCGTTTAATATGAGGGGCGTATAAAACATCATTGAGTGTAAATGTGGTAGTATCAGAAGCAAGCGTTGTGGAACCAATATGAGTTATAGGAAGTCCTTTACCATCACCGATGATGATATCTTCATCGCTGCCATAGGTGTTGTGAAGAGACAAATTCTGAAGATCAATGGTGATGTGATGGGAGGCGCTAGAGTCAATAATCTAATTGGGCTGACTAGTCATCAGAATAGTTAGGAGATTTGTTTGAGACTAGTGGGACGAAGTAGGGAGGCGGGGTCGAGACCGACAAACTTTAGTGGAGTATCCGATTTTATCACACAGCTAGCATACAACTCATCTTTGGTGGCTTGGTGGGGCAGGATGTGAAGACGGACGATTATTGAAGTTGCCACTTTGCAAGAAGTTATGATTAGGAGGATAATGAGGGTTTCGCATGGAATCCATATGATCAAGATGTGTATTGACCAAACCTTTGGAGATGTTCGGAGGGTACCGAGTGCCCTTCCTCTTAGACTTGTGATTGACTTGAGCTATGATAGTCGGTCTGGGTAGCTTGTCCTTATGCTTCAAATACGTCTCATAATCAGTCAACTTGTCATAAAGTTCTTCAAATGATACTAGCGTGTCGCGTGCCTGAATTACAACTGCCAACTCCTTGCAATCGTCTCCGAGACTATTAAGGGTATGGATAATGATCTCTTCATCATATAGGAAATGACCTATCAAAGCCAAATCATCGATGATAACTTTTATGTTTTGTAGATAATCAGTGACAGTATGTCCCTCTTGTTTTGTCACTATTAGCTTGGACAGAAGACTGAGCTTGCGAGTACGTGAATGATTCACCAAGGTAGTTTGCAGTTTAGACCACGCTTCGGCAATAGTCCCACATGAGGATATCAATGGAGCGACAGTTCTAGCAATGGAGGCTTGAATAGCTTGGAGGATAAGACGATCTTGACGCAGCCACAATTTGTGAGCCGGATTTGGTACTGGACTGGGTTCTCCAGGGATATTGATCATAGCTGGCGGACAACTGAAGGAGCCGTCAACGTAGCTGAGCAAGTCATATCTAAATAAGAGATTAGAAAATTGAGCCTGCTTTGATAACTTGAAAGGGATTAGCGTCACAGCATTGATGGAGATAAGCCCTGTAGGAGAAGTACTATGAGTTCCTGCAGAAATAGTAACTGGAATATCAGAAGAAGATAAGGAAGATATCCTAGATATTTTTTTTTCTCTTGGAGGAGGTTTGTGAGAAGAGCAAGAGTAGATCGCTGCTGTTGCTCCTATAGAGAAGGCTGTTGCGGCTGTTGTGGTAGAGGAAGAGGTTGGAGGAGGAAGCTGCAGCGATGCTCGAGGAAGCTGCAATGATGCTGCAGCGATGCTGGAGGAGGAAGCTGCAGCGATGCTAGAGGAGGAGAAATCTATAGCAATTAGGTGGAGAAATCTACAGCGATTAGGTGGATTGCTGGGACGAGTTCTGCAGCGGATCACAGCCTAATGAAGATGATGCTGCCGTCGTGGTAGTTTGTTAGGACTCTAGCTTGGAGAGTCCTAATTGAGAGGGACATTCATGTAAAACTGTTAGGACTCTAGCTAGGAGAATCCTAATTGAGAGGGACATTCTGTTAGGACTCTAGCTAGGAGAGTCCTAATTGAGAGGGGCATTCATGTAGGAGGTTTTTTCTTAGAGAAGAATTAGGAGTTGTAAGGGAATAGGAGTCTTGAGTAGGAGTCCTATTAGGAGTTGGTTAGAGGTAAGAGTCTTAAGTAGGA